AATAATAATAATAATAATAATAATAATCTCTGCATATTTCAAACCCAAAATTCTTTGGAAGATACAGAAAACAATATTGTATGTGAACTTATACAGAATTTAATTTATTTAAAGTTCCGACTGTGGTCTTATACGAGACTACCAACGTTTCGGTTGAAAGTATCGCTTCCATCTTCAGGAAATATTTATAACCATCCATAAGGCAACATTGCGTCATAATTTATAAGACCACAGTAAGCATATTTGCCGTGTTTAAAACCTCAAATGTCATATTTGTTCTGTAAAAGTCTGTTTTATTTCCAGAAAATAAATGTGTTGCAAAAATCATAAGATTGTTTACACCTCGCCTGTTTTAATATTTTGACATTTATGAGTAATTTTATTTTGTCTAACCTTTCTCCGTTGTTTTAATAATAGTCTGATGTAGAGGAAATGTCAGGAAGGCTATAAATGTTGTAATGAGCAGAGAAGTTAATGTGTTAATAGCCGTTCTTTTCACGCACAAAAGCAAAACTCTTTTGTACCGTCTTAATTTTGTCAAATGTACGTAGTACTTGGTTAAAGGTAGTTAAAAGATGGTAGACGAACAGTGTTTTACAAATACGTTATGTGTAATTTCTCATACACCATTAACCTTTATGTAAGTGTATTGCAAATGCTAATCTGTTACTGCAAAAATAAATTAATATTTATAAATCTTACGACAATGAATATAATCTTAGAAAAGAATGTTTCAGACAAAACTTTGGCATGTCCTGATCTGTATCGTGTTATATTATGAGCACTTTTTAAAATATAAATGTTGTAAAAGTAATATATTTTTTTAATGTTGGATCTTTTGGCTCGAGGTACCGCTTGGAATTGTGGGTAGACACCAGCGTTTCGGTGTAACATAGTACCTGCATCAGCTCTGAAGATGGAGGCAGTATGTTTCTCCGAAACGTCGGTATTACAAGTCCACACTGAATCAGAAACCCGGAATAGAAACATCGATTTGTTCACCGCCGTGAAAACCTCAAATGTAATAGTTTCTGTACGATAAATCTTTTTTATTTTAAATCTGTAAAGTCTCGATATGAGAGCTTCGTGAAAAATGTGTTATTTTTAACCTATTTGTACCAGAATTAAATTTATCTAACAATATTTATGTAATCTATTTAATACTAAATTTCGTCTAAATCCGTTCACTTTTTTATATGCAACGTACCGACATTCGATCTTTCTGTTCTGCGTTATTTTACGAGTTTTATGTCAAAAGGACCCCATTCGACAGACAGTAACTCACTTGCAATTCTGGATTAATCTACTGATCTACTAATTCAGTAACGAAATGTAACTGTGACGTCATATCCCTGTGTGCGATTTCGCGTCTGTATTCTTTTTGTGTGTGTGTTTTTCCGTCCTAAATAGTCGTTTTAGAATCAAAACAGTAACAGCTTCAATTTGTACAGATTCATAAATTAATTAACGAGGGTAACTAACCCAGAACTAGCTTAATATAATATAAAATGGTAATGTACTTACAGATTACCACAATATTTTTTATTTAACTTAGTTTCATGTATCAAACCTAAGATTCTGAACCGTGTTTACAAAATTCTGAACCACATTAATCCACTATTTCCCGAATATCAATTTTGTTGTCCTTCCATTTTCGTCTAGGTCTTGCGAGTGGTCTTTTACCATCGGGATTTTTAGCCATAATTTTGTACTAATTTCTCACTTCCCGACGTGTGCTCCATGCCCTGTCCATCTCTCCTCCTTAATTTGATCATCGTAATATTATGTGAACAATACTATTTAGCTGCTAATAACGCAGTTTTATCCAGTCTTCAGATACGTCATCCGTTTTAGGTCCAAATATTGTCATAACCCCGTCCTCAAATATCCTTAATCTATTTTCTCCTTTGATGTCAAAGATAATCTTTCTCGTTCATGTATACGTTGTTTTAATATGGTCAGTAATTATAATTTATCACTTTAGAGCCATTTTAGAGCAGGCGACTTTATGGTGTAACGCGTGTTATGGATGTGTTACGAACCCTTCGTCTAAATTTTACGCATGAGTTCACATAACAAATTGCATTAGACACATTTGAAAGGATATCATGAAAGCTTCTGTCCTGAGAGACGTTTTATATACAAGGGGTTTTTGTGCGCTGTTAAACGTTTATTCTGATATCTCCTGTACACAGTAAAGTAGTTATTGGAGACACATGATAAATATGAGTGAATGGGTGATTATAATTATCCTCCTGATGATGGAGACAGAAATGACCTCTGAAACGTTGTGGGGGTGAGAAATTAATACATGTGGCTTGGAAAATCCGAAGGGAAGACACCTCTTCTTAGATCTAGGCGTAGATGGGAGGAAAAAATAAACCTTGGATAAAGGTGGATTGAAGATGCTTAGTGGATAGGGGCCGTTGGCAGGCTTTTGTGAATATGGTAATGAACCTTCAGGTTTCATACCAAGCGGAGACTAGCTAAGCGACTGTTGGCTTCTCAGTTTTGGTTTAGTTTATAAAGTACGCCTATTGGCACTGTGTTAACTTCGCTGAGAAAAAAATATAATTATATTTATGTATTTATACAACTTTAAGTTTGTGTTTAGTGATAAATCAAAAGGTTTAGTTTAACAGTAAAACACGTGACGTGTATCAGGAAGATTTCAGTTTTAATGTGTAGAATTTATCCATCGTCTGTAGTTTAATAAAAATACGTTTCGGAAGCTGGATTTTCTTCTGTCTTCAGATAAAAAAGGAAGGTTAGGAACATAGCTGTTGGATCTCCTGATTGTGCTAGCCTCAGACTTGGACAGCTTCCATGTGCAATATTTATTCAGCGTGATGTATCAACTTGTGTCGCTTTTGAAATAAGGCTGAGTAGACTGGTTCTCTATAGCAGTTAATGGCATCTTTTTCTACCACAGAATCAACGCTTCATATGTACAGTCTTCCTAACTTGTTTTCAGAGACCGCTGTGGACACTCTGAATCACATTTAACCTCTTGATAAAACTGCAATGTTATAAACTTTATGGTGTGTCAATTTCTATTGGTATTGATTGGACGATTAATTTACTTACTGGGAGGTAGATGGGGAATGTAGCACGCATTCTGTAGACGATAGATCCGTACAGAGTAGTCTGATAACTTCTATCAAATAGCAAACTTCAAAAACACGTGTTAAATGGAGGATAATATTAAAATAGATAGTGAAATGATAGGGTGTGGATTTGGTTCAGTTGTGTTAGGGGCTGATGGTGAGGTTTGGTGAAAATTGAAGCAGACCTTCACGTTCAATAATAGCAGAGAATTTGTTGACTAGCTGAGCGAGTATCGATTTTCGAAGAAATAACCTACACCATGGAGGGATTTATCGTTCTGACGTGTCCTTTCATTTGTTTTGTTTGTGGCGTAATGACGTTCACAGTCAATAACGTCTGTGACAATGAAGGTAACTACGCTCCACAAACATTCATGATTGATTTTCGAACATCCTGGTTCGACCTTCTTGCCAGTGTATACAAGGTTTTGGCCCCTTGATGGAAGAAATATGAGCACACCGTTAACGTTACTACAGTATCCTGTACGTATCGATAGTACACTCGATATAAATCGAATTATCGTCATTTAAATGTTTCGATATAAGCAAACTCAAAATGTCCTTAATTGTAATAGAACCATATTATAACCTCACAAACTGAAATTTTATTTAATAAATGTAAATTTGTAATTTTAATATTTTATTTTGTTAAGAAATTTGTAATTGGTGTTTGATTCTTAGCCACCTTGATTTTCTTTCCGCCAAGGTCATACCATCGCCTGAACAGTTGAACGTCTGTAGTAACTGAGAACATGAAATGTAGATGGTGCGCGGTGCGGGGAGGTGATTCACTCCAATACACGCTGAGTTGACCGTTGATAAAATGGAACGCTCCGACACAGCACGGAATGTCGGACAATCGGGACTCTACCGTATTCTAATGCTAATTGTACCAATTCACTCCTAAACTTTGCGCATTCTCGTCGTCTGGTATCTAATTCTGCGGCTGCATCAGTCATTTGTTCTCTTTCACTACACAGAAGTCTGCGATGTAAACCCATTATTTCAAATTTTCATGTAATATAACAAGTTTCCCTGCTACGTACCGCCTGGGGTACAGGCAACTTCTTTAGCAGAGCAATACTGCCGTTATACATAACATCGAGGGGTTTCTTTCCAAAGCTGCATGTTGAATGCTGGTAAATAGGTTTATTCGTCGTGGAACTGATGATGACATTGTTTGATCACAAGAGAATTAATTGGTTTTATACATATTTTACATAATCAAGATTTCAAAATGAGACTTGAAATTATTTTTGAAGTACGTCTGTTTCCACAGAATGTCACAAGTCTTGAAATGTATTAATAAAACTAAGTTTGTGATGGAAAGTTTCATATTTTTGCAGTGTTGCGTTGTATTACGTAAAATTTAACCATATTAGGGTAGTTAGTGATCTTTTTCGTATT